CCCCCACAGAGCCGGTACCCCGGCATCGACCTGCCGCCCCTGCCGAAGCGCGGCACCCTGGACGTGAGCCGCGTCAGGCGGTCGCGCTACTTCTTCTCGTGAGGGAGTGCAGTGGACGGGGGGGCAATGTCAGCGGGGCAGGCAGGCAAGCGCGCCTCTCTCACAGCATCGACGGCCGGATGTGCGCCCCGCCATGCGGCAGGCGGCGGGGCCGAGCGGTCCGCCTGGGTGACGGCGGTGGGTCAGCGCCCGAGGCGGCTGGCTGGTGCAGGTTGTCGCGGCTGTTGTGTGGACGTCAGCAGAGGAGGACGAGGGATTCTTGCAGGCCTGGCAGTGTATCTTCAGTTGTGTGTCATGTGTTTTGTCGATGTAGAGCTGCATAGTGTGTTCAGGTCATGCACATCACATTTGTTTTTTTTGGTGATTTTTTGTGTTCATCTCAACAGAACAGCTCCTACTCATGCCAGCGGTGCGCTCCAAGCCTCTCAGCAGGTGGTAGCAACATTGATTTAGCCCAGGGCCAATGCATCCATCTCGATTGCTCCGTAGCAACGGGGATTTCGGCGCTGCAACGCGCTTTTGCAACCAAGGCGCGCTGAGCAACCGCCGCCAAGTCAGGTTGCGCCCCTGCGTGACGCCGCTCCGCGCGGCACCCCCCTGGACGCCATGCGCCCACTGTGTGCCCACTGTGCCGCGTCCCCCGACATCTGTATGGCGTTCGCGAGCTCCAGCGGTGTAAGCGCACCTTCGCCCACCAAACAGCAGTGCGGCAGCAAAGCAGCAAATCAACTCAAACAGGCAAGCACCAGGTGTACCGCTGTCACCCAACAAAATGCTCCAGCCCTGAGGACAGGGCATGAGCACAGTGCTGTTGCTTTTGTGCGAATGAAAGGATACCAAAATGATCATGTTTCTATCTGTTGGCCGACCCTTGGGCTTGCGCACTGCTGGACACACAACCTGGCGGCGGCCAGCACCAAGCTGCTCACGCACACATGTTTTCGGCGGGGTCGTACGCTTACCGGATGCTGCATTGCACTTGCAGCGACGTGTGAGGGGCTTGGCAATACTGTGCGTTTGTTGCTGCCCCACTGCATTCTGTAGCTTTGTCAAGCTCTGGCAACTGGACTGATCAAACACAACCCCACCGTTACAAGCACGTAAGGATGAGTGAAGGCCTTCGCATGCTCCCAGCTAGGAGAGAGGCCGGGCGGTGCAAGCCGCAGCGCGCCCCAGAAGTATGCGACACGCTGCTCCAGCATCAACGCCCCGCCTGATCCCCTGTGCTGGCCACGCAATGCAGGCCTGCAACAGGACCATGCAGGCACCAGTCAACCAACATGCCCTAGAGGGGCCACCGCGAGTGGCATCGCTGCAAGTGGCATCGCTCTCACGTTACAACACGGCCACGCCATGCCCAGCGGGCCAGGTGCCAAGCCCCGCGGCCGCAATCGCAGCGGCGGCGGCAGCGTGGTGCGTGGATGCGCGTGGGTGCTGATGCTCTCGCACTCACACATGCCAGGCATGTCGATGGGCCTAACCGTCAGGACAGGCGGGGTAGCGGGCCTCGCCGCACCTGCCGCACCCCTGGCT